TCATCCAACATAGTCTCAGATAATCCCTTCTTAAATGCTGAGATTAATCCGCTGTTAGTCCAGTCTACCTCGGAAGCCAAGGCGCGAAATTCTATGGCATGCTCAGAGATAGACCGATCTGAACCTAAACTATAATGAGCATAAGGCCCTACAAAATTTGAGAAAGAATAAGGAAATAATAATAAAGCCTGCTGATAAAGGGGGCAGTATTGTGATCCAAGATACCTCTAGGTACTTAAAAGAATGTCATAGACAATTGGAAGATAAAAAGATATATAAGATATTGGTAAGAGATCCAACCACAGAGATTAAAGCATCATTAGAGACCCTTTTGAAAAGAGGTAGAGAAGAAGGAATTTTAAATGAAAATGAATATAAATTTTTATTAGTTGAGTTTCCCAGAGTACCTGTATTTTATACCTTACCTAAGGTACATAAAAATTTAGAAAATCCTCCAGGTAGGCCGATTGTGTCCGGCATTGGATCTGTTTCAGCCAATCTTTCTAAATATGTTGATATTTGGCTACAAGATTTAGTTAAAAATATGCCATCATATCTCAAGGACACTACAGACGTAATAAAAATTATAAAAAACATAAAATGGGAAAATGGTTACTTTTTGGTAACCTCGGATGTAACGGCACTTTACACTTCCATTTCTCATGACAAGGGATGTAAAGTAATTCAGGAAATTTTGGAAAACTCAGGTAATTTTACTCAGGAACATATTTTATTTTTAACTGACAGCATTAAGTGGATTTTAGAAAATAACTATTTTAATTTTAATTCTAGATACTATTTACAACTACAAGGTACTGCTATGGGGACCAGGTTCGCCCCCAGTTACGCTAATTTGTTTATGTCGAGCTGGGAAACAGAAGTTATTTACACCAGCCAACACTGGGGGACGAACCTGGTCTCCTACCATAGATATATAGATGATATATTTTTTATATGGAGAGGCACACAACTGGATTTAGAGCTTTTTTTAGAGAATATTAATGTAAATGACTGGGGTTTAAATTTTAGTAGTCTTTTTAATAACCATAGTATTAACTTTTTAGATTTAGAAATTTATGAGGAAACAGGCATTTTAAAAACTAAAAATTTTTTTAAAAAAGTAGATGCAAATAGTTATGTATTGTATAACAGTGGGCACTATACTCCATGGTTAAATAATATCCCAAAAGGTCAACTACAAAGAATAAGAAGGAACTGCACTGAACAACATGTCTTTGAGGAACAAGCAAAGATAGTGATAGACAAATTTTCCCAAAAATTATATCCTACTAATATCTTAGAAAAAGCTTATGATGAAATTAAAGAATATCATCAAAACCAATTAGTCTTCAAACAAAGTAACCATAGAGACAAACAAAATAAATTTGATAAGGTACCTTTGGTTTTAGACTTTAATCAAGATTCGAATAAAGTTAAATCTATTATTAAGAAACACTGGCACCTTTTAAAGAAAGACAGAGAATTATCGACAATTATCCCAGATATACCTTTTATTACCTTTAGGGGTGCGCCTAGTCTAAAACAGATTTTAACTTTTAATCATCCAAGAAAGGAGATGCCTGAAACTTTTTTAAATATAAATAAAAAAGGTTTTTATTCATGTGGAAAATGTGCAGGCTGTAAGTGTAGCAAGAATAATACCTTGAAAGGGATAAGTAAGTTTAAGACGAAATATGCAAAAGAAGAATATACTATTAAGGATTTTATAACTTGTTTTACTAAAAATATTATATATCTTTTAATATGCCCATGTGGGTTGCAATATGTGGGGAGGACTATTCGCCCCCTACATAAAAGAATTTATGAACACGTTAATAATATCCGTAAAGGTTTAGACCATCATAGTGTATCTGCCCATTTTAAGAAGCACCATAATAGCGATCCTAGTGGCCTTACATTTTTAGGGATTCAATTAGTTAAGAAATCATGGCGAGGAGGAAATTTTATTCAACATTTGGGAAAAGAAGAGATGAAATGGGTTCATACATTAAATACCCTTGAACCTAAGGGCCTCAATATTGAATTCGATTTGTACAACTTTTTCTAAACGACCCTTTTTTTCTCTTGTGCTGTCTTTTAGATGTTTTAGAATTTTTAAAGATTATTAACTCACTTCCTTCTTCTTCCCCTCTATAGAAGGCTTTTTTGGTTTTTTACCTAGTTTTTTATATAAATTTTATATATAAAATATATATATGACTTATATGTGTATGTATATCCCTTTTTTTCATATATATATATATATATGACCCTTTGTGTGTGTATATATATATATATATACACATATTCTTCTTCTTGTGGAATTATACTAAGACGCTAACAAGAAGTGTCTATGTGCTATTATTATTATTACTATTATCTACTGCTGTTCTATGAGTCATTTGGATGAGTTATCTTTTAATTAGAAGATTAGCTTTTTGCTATACTTGTTTTTCTTGTTTTTCTTGTTGTTTCATATGTCATGGACTTTCTCAACATAGACATTTACAAGATCTACCCCTAATTAGTTTATGGGGAGTTTCTATAATGATTGACACAAACCACGCCCATGTATGGGCTTTAAAAAAGGCAGGACTAGCTACATCAGGATGTGATCTGAGGAAGCCGATTGGGCGAAACGCGTCATCACGTCGATTACGTCATCACGCCATCACGTGACCGGACGAAACTCCGAGTTCCAGGAAGTGAAGCCTGAAATACCGAAAGTTACCAGGGACTGGTAGATATACACAATACAGCACTGGCAAAAGGTTATTTGGCTGCTATATGGAAACGGAGAGTGTGGATTCTATTTATTTTCAATAAAGCTGTTTTTAATTTTGGAAGCTGGTGTCCTGCCTATTTACACCAACATTGAAGTCCTGGTTTTTGGATTTAAAGCTGGATCAGTTTGAGCAGGCTTTTACTGCTCTTCTTTTGTGAGTGATATTCCTAATTGTATTTGCTGGTCTTTATATTTATGTAAAACAATATTATACTATGTTTCTCCATTTTTTATCTCTTTTTACATATGTTCTCATGTGATTTGGAGAATTTAAGGAGACATATATTTCCCTTGTAAGTTATTTGTCTTGGATATTGAATTTTTACACTATCACATTTGCATTTTGCACTTATGCCACATTGAATGTGATTGTATACACAATCTGTGTTTTTGCACAAAATATTTGCACATATTATTGCACTATTTGCACTTTTTAACATTTAAAGATACAGCGCACCTATTTTTATTTTTTGGATTTTATGTATGGTGTTTTATGAGCTTGTACACTTTTAGGTGCTGCTACACTTTCATTATCTTTATATTTTATATTAGCACTTTCAGCGCCTTTATTGCTTGTTTGTTCTTTTAGTTTTCCTGTTGTCATTAAAAGCCAGTTCTGTTGTGCCCTTCTTCTTGACTTCGGCTGATGTTTGGGGATTCGTATGCTTTATTAAGGGAATTATCTTGTAAAGCTATTTGTATTCGTATGGATTTCATCTATTCTATCTACCGAACGGAGAGCTATACTCACTGATGCTCTGGCGCTTCGGGAGGAAACTACCGAATGAGGATTGAATATACTAGGTTTCCTTACAAGCCTAAACATGACTTGCGAACAAAGAGACCCCACAGAATCTGGTAACTGAACAGAAGGGAACAATTCCATTTGAATGCAGGAAACATTAGACGATACAAAGTATAATTAAGGGAACACTGTGGCGAAACCAACCTCGCCACTGTACACTGGAGAAGCCTGGTTGCTCGCCTGCTCCATTTAGACTATGGCCCTGCAGTTCAGACCTGTTATTTTCCCTGCTGAAAGGTTTATTCATGCCTTTCTGCCAGGGTGTTCGGTAGATTCAATCTACCGAACAAACTACCGAACGATGGACCACCTGGGAACTGGAGTGTGCCGTCAATTGACCGCCCAGAAGCTGCGGTTAACCGCAGTTTAATTGATGAACGCTGGGAGGCCTTTGTTCTGTTGCCGAACACGTGGCAGCGGCCATTTTACCTCCCGAACAGCCAGCGGTGTTCAGCGCCTAAACAATGGAACTGAAAACGGACACTTAATTGCGCGAACACCTCCTTCCCTTCCCATTCGAGAGCTGAACCGAATGACTGTTCATTCGGTAGTTTAACCGGATGAACAGCATCACCCAGATAGCTAAGCCATGGAGCCTGTTCATGTAACGAAAAGACTATGTGAAGGACTTTGGCTCCATGGCGATTGAACTGTATGTATGTGATCTGAGCGCCATTCGGTAATAATGTGCGCTCAGATCTGAGCTATCTGGGGATATGTAGAACGTATATGTTTTATGTACTGAATGTAATTGTATGTAATTTTATGTATTTTACTGTTTGTTTTCTGCCATGTGGTTAATGGAGTTTTGCCTCTGTCTTTGGAGATAATTGGATTACTTCCCAATTATCTCCAGGGCAGAGAGGAGGGATTGTGATGCATTGTGGGATGGTTGAAATGTGTAAGTCTGTGATTGGTCCTTTTTCCCTTTGTGTCCCAGTCTCCCATTTGGTCCCCTAGGGGAGTGTCCACCAGGTGGGAGACCTGCATAAAAGCCAGGCAGTTAGCCCCAGTAAATCAGTTCCTGCTTAACACTCAAAGTGAAGTGCCGTCTCATTATTGGGGGGAGGATTTACTGTATGCTGTTAGAGACTGATTGCCAGGAGTGTAAGCCACTTGGGGTCTTTTCCTGTTCGTCTGCTAGCAGCTATTCGTGTGTCTCCAGTTCGGGAGTTTGGAGTGCTACTTGGTATGCAGTCGGGAGTTTCGAGTATTCCCTTGGTTGCAGTTTGGGTGTTGGTGAATTCGTGGGTTTGCAGTTCGGGAGATTGGTGCTTGCAGTAGCTGTCTGTGCAGCTGAAAAAGGGGAATATCGCCTAAACGGTTTTTAACCTCTTGTGGGCAAAACGGTCCGTTACAAACACATACGAGGAGTCCCATCTCCTGTGACAGGGCTTAGGTGGCATAGCATGCCCTGTGGATTTTAATCTGCAAGCCCTATATATTACCCTGTAACTCTCCAAAACACCATAAAACCTGTACATGAGAGGTACTGTTTTACTTGTGAGACTTTGTTGAACATGAGTGTTTTAAAACAGTAAAACCTATAATGAAGATATCATCAGTGAAAATGCAGTTTGTTTGTTATATTCTTGGTTGTCTACTTTTGCAAATGGTATGCCATGATGGGGGGTAATACTCATTCGTGGGCTGCCATATAGTTTCAAGGTCAACACAGGCCCAGCAAACCAATGCAGCAAACTAAAATGGGCAAGCCCTATATTTGACCATGTAACTTTACAAAACACCATAAAACCTATACATAGATGGTTCTTTTGCACTCCTGAGACATCGCTGAACACAAATATGAGTGTTTTAGAGCAGTAAAATGTATAATGACAATGATATGAACAGTGAAAGGGCAGTTGTTTGTAAAAAATGTAAAAACCAAATATGAACGCTAACTTTGGCCAGGGTATATGACTAAGTGGCTACAAAAAAAAAAAAAACGGGTCATTTTGAATACCTTTGCTTGTCTGCTTTTGCAAATAGTATGCCATGATGGGGATCATTTTCATTCCTGGGCTGCCATACAGTCTCAAGAGCAACATGACCAATTTGGTAAATTTTTAATGTGTAAAAACTAAACTGGACAAGCCCTTGCACCTTAAACCAAAATGATTTATCTGACAGATCAAGGGATTACTCTGTACTTTCATCCCACGTGCAATCCTGTGAGTTTGTTTCATTTTGGGAGGACTATTCGGATTATTTTATTTTTAGTTCATTAGTGTTTTTGTGTATATTCCACCTTTTATATTTTTTTATATTTATATATTATTCAAATAAAGGGCATCACACTATAGTAGCTTTTTCCTTTGTGATTTTTAAGGCCATATTTACTAAACTGCAAATTCAAAGAGTACCAATTACATCTGGTAAAGCCTTAAGTTGACAAAAGATGGAGCTGCACTGTCAACTTTTGTACAAGCCCACCAACCACCACAAATGACAGCTGTGGGATTCAGGCTCTGTCTGTGGAGGGTTTAGCGGGCTCCTCCATAGACCTTTAAGCTTTGCCCTTTCGAGCATTTGCAATAGTAGAAGACTGACATGGCTCCTGGCAACTGAAACACCTGGAGCCGAAGAGGGCCTTTAGCATGAAGATGACAGTGGCAGCAAGGAACAGCCTGAGGTAAGTAAAACTCATCTCTCTGTGGCCAACGGACCCACACCATATCTGTCCATTTCGGGTGATCCATTTTGAGTGTGGCAGTAGTTTGAACTTACAACCTTTACCACCCGCCTTATGGTACTTTACTATTTTGTATGCACGGTAGTCCACATATTCTTATAAACTTTTTGCAACTATCTCTCTGTGTGACAATTGTCAATAACCCACCCCCAGGACAGTGGTTCCCAACCCAGTCCTCTAATACCCCCTAACAGTCCAGGATTTAGGCAGGGGCGTACCTAGAGCACTTGGCACCCGTGGCGCATACTGTGCTTGACACCTTCCCCTCCCTCACCCCCAAGTCCAAACCCACCCCCCCCCAAAAAAAAACACAATAAATGTTTTTTTTTTATTTAAATGTATTGAACCAATTTGTAATCTTTGCAAAACCCATGTCCTGCCCCGTCTACAAAACCCCTGCAACTCCCTTCCACAAATCCCCTGCTCAGCCCCCCTTATAAGGACTCCTGTCCCAATACAAAAACCCCGCCCCCTTCTACAAAATCCCTGCACCCCCACACACACAGTTACAAGCAGTCACACACAGTTACAGACAGACAGTCACACCACACACGCAGTCAGTTACAGGCAGTCACACACAGTCGTAACCAGGCAGTCACGCACATAGCAACAGGCAGACAGTCACATATACATTCAAACACACACACACTTGGTCATAGGCAGTCACCCACCCACACAGTTACAGTCACACACACACACAGTTATAGGCAGACTGTCACACGCACACAGTCACAGACAAATAGTCACACATGGTTAAAGCCAACGTCACACACACACAGTCACATGCAGTCACACATACACAGTTATAGGCAGACAGTTACACACAGTCGTAGCCAGTCACGCACACTGTTACAGGCAGACAGTCACATATACCGTCAGACAAACACACACACGGTTACAGGCAGAGAGTCACACACACACCATTACAGTCACACACACACAGTTACAAGCAGACAGTCACACACACACACACCTACAGGCATGCAGTCACACACACAGTTACAGGCAGACAGGTACACACAGTCACAGGCAGTCACACACAGTTACAGGCAGAGAGTCACACACACACACACTCACATACACAGTTACAAGCAGATAGCCACACACACACTCTCTCTCTCTCTTTTACTTACAGAGAGTGTGGACTGGAGAAGGGGTGGATTCAATGAAGTCCTTCCCTGGAGCCTGTTAGTTGGAGAAGCAGGGATTCCTTTTTGCTTCACCTCCATGTGTAGCAGTAACAGCACCGGGTAAGGGCCATATTATGCCCCTCCCCTGCTACCGGTTTGGCTCTGCCACTGACTTTTCTTAGCTCCGAGCTCACTTTCCTTCCATGCGGCCAGTTCAGCTGGTCTCTGCGTTGTGAGCTGTTCCTGCCGCCCGGCACCCTAACTACCATGGGGCACTGTGGACACACATCCCCCATCAGCCCCCAGACCAGGGTCATGGCAACCCGTACCTGGTGGTGGCACCGAGGCTGACCGCCCCCATCCCACCTTAGTATGCCACTGCATTAGGGAATGACCAGTTGTGTCTAAGGTACTTCTAGAAAGAATAAAAAACTTTAGACACAACAGGGTAATCCCTAAATTCTGGCGTATTGTGGGGTACTTGAAGATGAAGTTGGGAACCACTGCTCTAGGATATAGTTTTGCGCTCATTCATGATGGTATTGGCTAAAATGCTAAATTCTTGCTCCACTTCTTTATTAAACAATTCAATGGCATTACCCCTGGAATGTGTGGAAACTACATTTATTCATGAAGTTGTTTCATAACACAATACCTATACCTGTTACGTTTGTAAAGCTCCAATTACTTTGATGTAGCAAAGAATCTAGTGGAAAGAGATCATGCTGTTCATTCAAAGAGAGGTTAGATTGACACTTACTGGACACAGAGAAAATACAATCAAATCAAAGAAAACTAATCAAATTCCTGTTATTCCTAGTTTATGTGTGTTTGAATTGTTTCCTGTTTTTTGCTCATGAAATCTTTTTTGCAGGTTTTTGTGTTTTTTTTTTCCATTATTTTTTCCCCGCTTTTCTTTTTTTCAATGTCTGAATTTTTTTTTATTGGTTTCGTGTGAAATTGCGTATCAACTTAAGAGGGGTACAGAAATAAAAAAAGGGGGGGGGGAGCATGTACTTATTATACATAGTCAACAGGTTTCCGACATATTTTCGACAAAGCAGATCATAGAAACATCACTATTCGTTTGCCCCTTATGTTTCAAGTGCCTTCATAAGTATACTGGTCGGGTAGTTGGTTGGTCAATTGGTTAATTAGTTGGGCTACATCTTGGGGTGTTGTTGATTGAGCAAGGGTCAGCAAGTGCTGAGTTGAGTCATCGTCAAGGGTGAAGACCTATGGTAGCTTCTAAAGGCCTATGTCACTAGGAGTCACCTTGTAAGCTGTAGGCGGTCAATTTGGGGTGCGGTTTCTGTATCTTATACATTAGCTCTATTGCGTCTGCGGTCTCTGATGTGGCCGTTTTGTCTGTTGGGTCTTCTGTTCTATTGCTGGTATTCTATATATCTGTCCATTTTGTTCTGCACTTGTCATGGTGACCTCCATGGACTGGGGATTACCGGTGTAGTGGGGGGTTAGGTAAACATAATGTGATAGCAGTTTAAGCTGTCGTGTTGTCTTTCTTGCTAGTCTTTTATTGGCTAATTCTGTGAGACAACCATCACATACAATGATCCCTTATCTGAACCCATTTCTGCCAGCATTTGGAGTGCTTATGCTCTGTATTCCGGATACGGCTGGCCATCAACTCATATTTACTTGTCGTGTCTAGTCTCGTCAGGACTTCTGATAGGGTTGGGCAGTGAGTTTGTTTCCATCTATGCGCTATTGCTATTTTTGTTGCTATAAGGCAGTGGGTAAGAATTTGCAGTTCGTCGTCGCTAGGAGAGTGGGGAAACAAATGTAGAAGGTAGCTCGCCGGGGTTTTAGGGACCTTAATTTTTACTTTTGTTAGGAGAAATTGTTCCACTTCATCCCACAACTTTGTGATGAGTGGACATGACCAGAATATATGGAATAGCGTGCCCTCGTGCTCTTGGCATCTCCAGCATAGGGAAGTTGTGCCCGGGAATATGTGTGCTAGGCGCGTGGGTACTAAGTACCATCTCATTGATAGTTTGCAGTATGCTTCTCTATGGGCTAAGCTATGTGTGGCTTTTTTGACTCTCTCTAGAGCCAACTGCCATGCTTTTGGGTGGATTTTTATGTTCAGGTCTCTCTCCCAGAGGCGCATGTTTGAAGGCAGTTCCCTGTCTCCCAGTTGTGTAAGAGAGGTGTAGCAAATGAACAGGGCTTTGGCATTTTTTAGATTCCCTTGGCATTTGAGGGTAAGTCGTGATTTGGGGGCTGTACTACCGTTGAGTAGTTTCTGTTCGTGAAGTATATTCCTTACGCGTAGGTATGTGAATATTTCTCTGGATGAGAGTGTGAAAGTCTGTTGCAGTGTTGGGAAGGGTAGTATGCCCGCAGCGTCGAATAGGGTATATACATGGGAGATGCCGTGGCTAGTCCATGCATCTAGACACATATCTGTCGTGTATAGTGTTAGCGTTCTTAAGGGTGCTGCATACAAGAGGTCTCTGTTTGCTCCTAGTTTGTGGGTTGTCTTCGACCAAGTATTAAGCATTAGTTCTGTAGTGGGTAATATGGTGGGGTGTATTGATCGGTGGTAGTGACTAGCCCACAGTGCTTCTTCTATAGTTCCCTGTGTCAGACTAGCGTTTTCCAGCGCTAGCCATATGGGGGGTGTCTTTCGTTCTAGTATCGTTATGCCCTGTGCCATTATTGAGGCTCGATAGTATAGCTGTATGTTGGGTACGCTCAGGGCCAGATTAAGAGCCCAGTGGGCCTGGTGCTGACAATTATGACGGGCCTAATTACAGAATCATATCGACCAAAAACAGTAAAACACTCCCAAGCATCATGTATCTGATGGAGATGGTGCTGGAGAGAAAGAAAACAGCAGCTATAAGAAAACACATACCCTAGGCTAATCTCTCACTAATTTATGTTTTCATCTTTCAAGTAAATCCATAACCCCTAACAGCAGTGTCCAGTCAAGTAGGAAGTCAATAGGCATAGTAAAAGGGTGTGCCACTGACACAAATCACATAACCTGCCAAAAGGGGCGAACATGCCCAAAAAGAGGACATGTGTGCTCAAAGAATTAGAAGACCAGCCTGGCATGAATGCATGTCAGGCTGCCTGCCAATCATGCAGCTGGGCAACTAAGGGCATACTATGCAGACAGCACCCTGAGCTTGGCATAAATGCATCTAATGATGCGCTCACTCAACGCTTTCTAAGGACTGTCCCCTAGCACTCGCTG